TTTTTACTGTGGCCTCTATTGACTTTTATTAAAAAGAAGTACTCATTTAAAAGAATCCTGGCTGAAATCCACTTCTCTGTTTTCATAAGGTATTTCATCAAAAAAGTAATTTAAGAGAAAGATCTTTCTATTGTAGCTTCACAAGGTTTTATTTGTGGTTGTAGAAGACCATAAGAGATTTCCTTCATTTAATTTTTTCCTGGAATTTTTCATATCCTTGAGGTCAATTTGTTGCATTAATAAATATCACTACAATGGAGAGCAATCCTAGACGTGTGGTTCTGCTGCTTTGGGCAGTAAAGGAAATAGGAGCTCTAAGTATTTGGGGGAGGTTTAAAAAGGAATTTCTATTAATCCCATAGCAGCTAATGAATTTATTTCTTTTCTTATAAGGTATTTTAGTCACCTAGTATTAAGCAGATGATGCATATGTGTAAAACTATCCAGTGGCAAAGACAGTGCAATCTGGGCAGCCACTAGCAAACCACTTCTAAACAAATTTAGCATCTCAGTCCTGGTTCAGCTCCTTAGGCGTGTTCAACTTGAGGTTAATTAAATACTTCATATATGAGGACACTTGTAAAGAAATCCATCCTATCTGTTCGCATTCAAATGTCCTTGCTTGGAGAAATTGCTCAGCAAAGACATCTTTGCTCCCTTGCCAGCACAACGAGAAAAGCAGTGCCCTTTGGTCGATCTGCAGGTTTTTGGGGGGAAAAGCCTCTCGTCTTTGGGTGAAATGCATGGCACGGCTGTGCTGCAAGTGCAAAACCTACTCGGAGCATCTTCCGACGCCCTAAAGCGGTTTAATCAAATAAGCAGCTGCAAAGTCATCCTGCCCGCTTGGATGGGCCTACAGCCAGCGAGAGGGAGCCCATGGAAACTTGTCGTTTCCAGGCTTTTACCTCTCTCCTCGTATTTGACGTAGTTTGTAATCAGATGGAACATGACAGCAACAGCTTGACAAGCTGATAATACACTTCACTTGCAGAAATTCATGTGCTAAGACGGCAAACACATTTTGGTTTAAGCTATGTCATGTTTATGCATAGCAGGAGGATTTTTGTTGTTGTTGTTTCTTCTGCGGCTCTGCTATAAAAAGTCTGAGGAGGTCTTCAGTTTTTGTCTTTTAAGGGATGGCTGAGATTTTTACAGCCTCTAAGAAAAAGTTTGACTTTCCCCAGTCACACTAATTTATTTGGACAGTCATTCAGATACAAAGCAGACTAAAAGAGGTTCTCTTCTTCTTTGCTCCCTGAACCATGTGCGCCCCATTTTCTAGCCATTAGGGTGTTTCATAAGCTTTTATTATTTACCATATTGGTGAGAAATAAAAAAGGATAAAGAGAAAAGGAAACAAGTTTTTTCAGGTCTCACATAGTCAGCTGAAGAGACAGAACATCACTAAGAAAGTGGGTGGTGTGGTAAAAACAAGGGTTTTGGTCATTAAGCAAGTCCTGCAGTAGCTCCTAAAGCTGATCCAAGAAAACCTGGAGGAGTTTCCCCTGCTGACGTGGTATCAGAGCAAACACAGTCAGAGCAATGCCACGTCGAGGTGGTTCTCCCACTCTGTAAAGCTGAACATTGCTGTGTATTTTCCTGAGTCAAATCCTGCTGCATCTAGACATTTTTCACTCATTTTCCTCGAGTAAAATTCTGCCTATAAATGTCTGAGCAGTAACAGAGGAGATGTGAGAATCCCCGTGTGTGCTCTGCATCTGGCATGTGAACACAGGAGGGGGTACTCAAACAGCACTTGCTATACCATCCTCCTCCCGAAAATCCTGGGTGGGTTTCCATAGGGATCCATCTCCTTGAATCTGGGAGGAGGAGGTAAGGAACAGGCATTCAGGCTGCATTATCCTCATTCAAAATAGAGGAAAGCATAAGGAAGTAATAGGATCCGAGTCTGTATTAAATCGGAGTCTGTGTAAACACAATCTTTCCTTCTATTTTGAAGAACCCTTCGGTAGTACTCAAGAACACTGTGAATGTTTGTATATACGTATATACACTTAGCCTTTCCTGCTTTGCACCCTCTAAAACTCTCTCTGCACGTGGTTGTCTCCCCCTACATAAGAGCATGAGCCTTGCTTTCCAGGAATTTTTCCAAGAAAATCTGAGGGCTGGATGCACTGGAAGGACTTCTCCTCTCTCTGTGTTTTTCTATGTGAGAAAGAAAGAATGAAGACTTGAGAATTAAAATTCTTAAGCTACATGTGTGCTTGTTTAAATGGTATCTCCATAACTCATTAAGTAAGTGAAATAATAGTATTTTATACAGCCTGAGGTTCTCTCCTGTCTATCTTAAAGCCCTGCATTTATTTAAACAGTGAAATCTATAACACAAATACCCACATTTTTACCCACATTTTACCCTGGGAGCCAATGCCTTTTCTTCTGTTCCTACCCTGTATCACATCATAGGCTCATTGCTGTGGTCCTAAACCTTAACAGTCATTCCTCTGATTCAATTAATTGCTTTACTGGATATATGTTGTGCAGACTGAACTATCTTTTTTGAATGTCAAATCAGATTTTGGAAACACTGCTGCTGTTATATTTGTCCCTGGAAAAGCCTGGACAGAAAATTACATCTATTAAAACTGCATTCATTACCAAATCCAGAGAAACTAAGTTTTTGAATGAATAGCAGTTTCTCAAGCAATGTGTCATAAAAGGCAGTAACTAAAGAAAACCAAAGTAAAACATTCACTTTCATTATTGAACATTTTTAGCTTTATTATTATAATAGAATTACAGTCTGACATAAAATAAAGAGCTTTTGCTAAACTCTGTAAAGCAATACATGCTTCTGCCATAAACAACCTCTATTAGATTTAGGTTTTATTGCCACATCACTGCACTGAGGTGCAATAAACATTCAATGTCATCTTTTTAAAATTACCCCAGGAGTAAACAGAAACTGTCCTCTATAAGAGTGTATCATTATTTTCAAGGAAGACTTACTATTATTACATGGTTTAGCAAAGCATTGTAAAAAAGCTACATAGAGGATACCTTGTCTTTGATAAACTGTGCAATCAAGTTTATACAGTAGAATACTATTGGCATAGACTAACTAAGAGGTGATATAACGCAATCATTGCATAGCAAAAAGCAGACTAGTTAAGTAATAGTCACATCTAGTGTGCAAAATGCAGACCAAAAGGTAGCTATGAATCGCTAGAAAGAGAAAATGCCCTAAATGAACACACTAGTTTAATGCCAAAAATAACAAGATAAACGAGTACACAGAAGTTAAAGAGCCATAGTTTATTTTTTTCTATACATATATCTACACATGATACCAGAGATGAAACATCCCCTTTTAATAAGCTCCAATCAGTTAACTTATCAAGTTTAGACAGGACTAAACGTTCGACAATGAAGCATTATTTAAAAAAACAAACAAACAAACTTCTCTAAATAAAACATGAACTATTTCCTTTTGTAGCTAGAGAATGTCAACGTTTTGATTTATTGAGAAAGAGTTTAGAAAACATCGCCTATGAAATTTGACTCTCGGTAGCTGTTCCTCTGGAGGCTCATGTAGCATTGGTTTAAAATTCACTCGATGCCATATATTATGTTTCTTTTAACTGATGCTTGCACATATCCACCGTTCTTCCCATCTCTCTGAAAAACCTCGCTCTGTAATTTTATTTCTAAGAATCAGCAGTAATGATACCGACTAGAATTTTTTTTTAAAGGGAGCACAATACCTGCAAAATGGACATCTTGTATTTAAAGCCCTTACATATTGTTCCTACAAATATATTGCTACAGTAAAAATGAAATGTAGTAAGTTTACTCAATAAAATCTATTTTCCTGTACATTCTTTTATGTATGACTTTTTTTTTTTGTATTTAATGCTACATATATTACATCACTTATTGTAACAGTTATGTATCAGCAAATATAGCAGTAATATACAGATGAACTTTTGTCTTAACAAATATTTCACCATTTTTACCTACCAAATATAATCCCATACTTTAGTATTTATGCATGACCTGAGCAGACCGATCATTAATCTAATAGTATACATTGGATGACATTGCCAAATTGCAAGCTACTGTACACTGAACCACTTTACAAATGGAATTAATTCCAAGCACTTTCTGCGTGTTTGTTTTTTTAGGCTTTCCAGTACCACTGATTTATATATATTTTTTTTAATTCAGGCTCTAAATATGTTTTATTGAGCATTTAACAACATATTAAGAGCTAAGAGGTGAATCCTACACAATGTTTTGAGAACACAACTTTAAAAAAGTAAAAAAATGTACAATCTCATGCTGCATATTTACATATATTATTTAAATACTATATTTTTGTCTTTCTGCTATCCATAAATCTCAGTCTAAAGCTTCTTTTTAATGTATCATTTTATAAAAGAATACATTCAACATATCTAGAGCTTGCAAAAATTGTTTGTTTGGTTTTGTGGTTTGTTTTTTTTTTTTATTATGTTAAACTCTCTAAAACATAGTGATGAGTAAAAGCATCCAGGAATAGTTTGGGTTACGCAGGTGACGGAGGGAACTCGGGATCTGCACTTGGTTGTGCAACGGCTTTGAAATCTACTCTAGTGCCAACTCAATGCTCACAAGGAGACTGCAGTAAGACAGCAGCTTAAAGCGTTTGTTACCATGAGATCGTATGTGCTGTACAGTGACAAACTGATCCTACAGTGAGCAGATTTCCTTTTTGTTTTAAGGATCGTTTAATGTTATAAGTCGGGTGGTTTGGAATATAGAAGAGAAAAGGGATTAGGAAAATAACGTCTCTTCTGGGAGCCGGCAAATGGAAAGCTTTACATCCTTGAAAAGATTATAAACAGTGGGTGAACAAATGGTACGGTAGAGTATGTGCATCAGGAACGGCATAAAGAATACTTTCCCACTCCCCACAATACTTTGAATAAAAATATCTTTTTCACATACATATACAATACCTTCTGGGGACATTCAGTACTAAGTTTATCTACAAATGCTTTCCTTTTTTTTTTGTTTTCTCTCATTACTCTACCACTCTTTCTTTCCCATTTTCAGCATCACTTTTCCAAAGCATATAACTTACATTATTCTCTCTCTCTCACGCACAGCATTTTTTTTTTAAATATACAGATATATTTTACCTTTTGTTAAATAAAGAAACCTTTATTTTCTTTAAGACAGAGGCAATGAAGCAAATGGGAATTACTGTATGTGAAAACGGGAAGCAATTCCCAGAGCAAAAGACAAAATAGAACTATACGAATAAATGAGGTTATTGATGTGGAGTTGGAGCTTTTAACTGGGGCTCCCGGTTTAAATAGGTAGCCCAATAGACTAAGTTAAAGATGCCAAAAAGCAACGGGAAGGCTATTCTTGATAGTCGATCAATTTTACTGACGCTGTTAAAAGTTTTCTTGGGTTCTGCAGGTTTTGTTTCTGGCTTCACTTCTTTGGGCTCAATCGTAGCGCTTTTAGCAATGGTTGCCAGCCCAGGGTCCCTTGCAATATTAGGGGTGTAGCTCGTAGCTGCAGCTGTGTACGTGTTGTTTTTCTTAATGAGAGGATCCTTCACTTTCTTTGGCTGAAGAGAGAAGAAAATGCTTTATTCTCACGGTCTTCTCAACAGATAAGCTTATGAAAAAGCACCACAAACTTTGCAATTAATTGAATTTATACCACAAACTGCAATAGGCTGTAAGAAGTTAGTGTCTGGATAAGTGACTCCTGCAAAATATTTAGGTGAAGACAAAGAGAAAAGCATCCATCCATGTTGCTTGTATTAGTTAAATCAAATTAAATGATGGATAAACTACAATGAGGACTTAATATTGACAGCTAGGCTCACTGATTGACAAAATTACCTTCAGTGGTAATCAACAGTGTCAAACCACTCATAATTCAATACTTCCTTAATCAACTGTGCTGCTTGACCAGGACAAGAACTTTAAAAGATATGGAATTTCTTCATGTAGCTTTCCAATATTAAGACAAATAAAGTTATGTGATGCGTTCCACCACAGTTCATACATAAAAATGTACAATAAAATATCATGGAACAATGTGCTAAAAGAATGGATTATTTAATGAAATGCCAAGCCGCCAGTATTCTATTTACTAATGTTTTACCCCAAAAGCATGTGCATAATAGAACAGAAACTTAATGGTCTTGTTTGCATTGGATCATAATGGTTGAGATGTGGTTCCACATCCAGGGACTTAAATAAATAGCTGGATGGTTCTTGCATCCACCTACCTACATTGCTAAAGCAAGAACATATTGAAAATCTTTTAGTGGAAATGAACATTTTTATTAGATTTTTTAAAATTAATTTTAATTAGGTTTTTTCCATTGGGTCGTTGGTTTTTAGTGTTCTATTTGTGGGATCCACTTATAGGCAAAAAATTAAATTTTGGCATCTGGGGTTCCCAGCTGAAATTCAACTGTCCCTGTTCCAAACTCTTCCTCCAGCCACTGCACAAGGATAAACACGGAAGAGAGATGGAGTGGGTGGTTAAGGAGCTATAAAGAAAAGCATCGCTTTGCTCCAAATTCCTCTGGTCAAAACAGATCACAAAAAATTCCCGAGAGCTTAGGAAATCTTTAGGCAGCATTTGCTGCAAAAAGAACAGGCAAATGTTATTGGGTTTATCCCCTTAGAAGGAAAAAATTCTTGTTCAAGATGGGAATGTTGCAGGGTCCTGCGGGACACTGGGGAATGTGAAGGGAAGTTGCAACAGCATCAGGGAAGCGGAGAGAGGCTCAAAGCCCCACACAGGAAGGAAATGAAGGCTGAAATGTTAAATTTCTACTACTTAGTAAGAAAAGGGATTCACATGACTCTGATACAGATCCTCTTTATTTCATGACAATAATATTCAGCTTAGCTCGAGGCTAAGAAAAAGCTTCAAATTGTCACAGAATATTTCTGCTGACTAAGAGGAAAAAACCCAGGTTGATAAAATGCTCAGAAAAGAAAAAAGGTGATGTCAGGAAGATTTTTGTAGTTGTGTGGCCGTTCTCCTAAGCAGGAAGGCTGCTAATGTGCTTGCTGAGTACGAAGCCAGTCCCCTTTCCCTCTCAGCAGATGCCAGCGAGCAGCAGTAAATCCTGCAGGCAAAGAGCCACTGCACAGACGTCTCAGAGGAGACCCTTTCTGTAGATTTAAATGTCATGAGGAATCTGATACACAGAATGTCCCGACACCAGTCAGGGTCTTAATATTTCATGTCAAATTCAACTTCATGAAAAGGTGAGATGACAGCTAATTAGAGCTCTAAATTGCATTAAGCTGTGATGCTCTGTTCACCAATAGTTTGCCTTTCTTGTCTTTCCTTATGTCTGCAGATAATTCCCTCTGCCAGGTACCAGTCTTAGCTGACTTACATCAAGTGACACATAAAGACCCTTACCTGGTGCGAAATGCAAAGCCATAAATCTTCCAATGGTTTAAACAGTGATTGAATATTGTGTGTGCATTGGTGTGGCGTTTGTTTTTTTCTTAGTATGTAATTTTATTTAAAACAAATGAAATGGCTGGTTAGAGTAACCGTGTAACAAGGTAGGTTATGTTAACGAGGTATTCTTTAACATAAAAGGATTTTGTTCTATTAATGCAGCCTATCTTTTTACAATAGATATCATGAAGATAGGAGGACACCAAAGAATCTGATTTTCTTGAATGAAAGGACCGTCAGTAACTGAAAACTCGATATTCACAGCACTCGTGCAGCTCATTACTGTAAGTTTGTTTCATTACTTCACTTATTTGTTCTACAATATTTTTGTGTTAGTAGTCATTGTGTAAATGTCCTAATTTGATCTCTGTTTTCTCACTGACTTATGCAACTAAAATAGAAACAGAAAGTTTTATATAGGCACGCACTCCTGAATTAAACACACATATTCGCGTAGCAGTGAGTAACATCTGCTCCTCCAAATATTTATTCTGCTGAATTTCTGGTCTGTGAATGTTCATAATAACCAATTAGGCAAGTTACATCTTTCAAGATCTCTCTCTCTCAAATAAAAAAAAATCAACCAAATGAGCTTCCTCACAGAAGCAGCTGACATGGATAACTCATAGGAAATGGGGACGTTTCTCTTTCATCCCCTAAATGTCCTCAGTTTTTTGATGCCCCTGTGATTTACAGACCGGGTCAGACCAAGGGGAGCCACTGTGATGTCTTTGTATGGCATTCAGGGAGGTACGGATCGGGACTGCACATTCCCAACACAACTGTTAGTGCTTCCCCCAAAACAAATCCATTTCTCTTATAGGCTAAGAAGTAAAACTAGTATTTGTTTTAAAAATAGAGAAATGGTAGCACACAAAAAGAGAGAAAAAGTCCTGGAGTGATTTATTTGGTCATGATCACAGAGCAGCCCTCCTGAAGTTTGTGTTGGGGAGCAATATACTTTAGAAATTGTCAAACATAGTAGCCACAAGGTTTGTTTCTGTGTTTATACTGAGGCATCCACATTTTCTTTTACTTGAACATCAGAAAAGTAATTGCTTTCCCTTAAAAAAAAGACACATTTCTCTTACTGCTCAGTCGCATGCCAAAATCTCAGTAAAATTTTTAATCAATAGCATTAAATATAACAGCAGAATTAGTATTTAGGTACTCAGTATCTAAGTAATTATTGTTTATGTACAGCAATGCTGTGTGCAAACGCATGAGGGAACACTTTAGGAATAACTGCTTAGTATTCTAAAGAATAAGAATCTCTAACGGGCTGAAAAAAACCCTGTTGGGATAGAAATGCCCTGTTGGGATAGATATTCAGTGGCGTTACCTTTTCAGGAACGACGCTTTTGCCATCCCACGCATAACCTCTCTTTGTGAAGTAATTCACCGTCGCAAACTCGATGAGCGCAGAGAACACAAAGGCGTAGCACACGGCTATGAACCAATCCATGGCGGTGGCGTAGGCCACCTTGGGGAGCGAGTTCCTCGCGCTGATGCTCAGGGTGGTCATTGTCAGGACAGTTGTCACCCCTGCAGAGCAAGCACGGTCAGGTTTTAGTGTATTTAGACCAGCGGTCACAATTCTGTGCTTCGTTACTCAACTGTTACAACAGATGGGAAAGCCTTGTCTTCACCCCTATTTCTTATAAATGTCCCCACTTAAATTCAGTTGCTAACTGAGATCAGATTTCAGGTTCTGTGGAAGTTGCAGGATCTTCAAAACACCTTTCATACCTTTATTCTTCAACATTGTTGTAATATAATAATAATAATTTAAAATTCGGAACGGAAATAATGTTTGGAGTTATGGACTGGATATTCTACTTTATGCTTCCTGGTATTTGGAGAGTCATTGCTGCTGCTGCTTATTTACGCCCTGCAAATTGTCCTAAAGATGTAGCAATTTAACATTTTAAGTTCTTTCTTGCAACACTTCAAAGATATTTAGATAGAAAACTAGGAAATTTATTGTTTCCATTCAGCTTATTTGGCATATGACCCTTCAAAGGTATACGCTCCTTCAAAGGTACTCAAATGCACTAAGCTTTTTGTAATATTACATCTATTCTAATTGATGGGTTTACAGATTTCTGTCCCTTTACTCACTGATGCCCTGGAAATAGCAAAGAATTTATGTAAGCACGATGATAACGTAATTTGCATTTCTGATGTCAGAGCCTCTCTTTCCCCTTCACCAGCCATGGAAAGCAAGCAGGATCGTATTGAACTCACCCAGCTCGCAGCTGCTTGAAAGAAGAAAAAAATCTACAAGTGCAGGCTTAGGCATTTACATCAAATCACATGTCCACGAGTTACCTTGACAACTGCATTGTCATGGATTGAATGTGTCTTGCGAGTTCATCTTCACTGCACCGAGTGCTAGTGAAAATGTGCAGTTGTCTCAAATAGGGCAAATAATGAACGGTGCATTTACGTGCTGGTGTAAAGAGCTGGAATTATCAGTGCCTAATGAGCAAGCAATTTCCCTGCAAGAATAATCTTGTCTTTGACTTATTACTAGTGAGCTTGTTTCTCTCACACAGTAGCAAAACAGGATTTCTATTTTTCCTTTTCTGTAGTACTAAGGGGACTAGAAGACACAAGCTGTGCTTCTGTATGTATATACACTCATGCAAAATTTTTTAAAACACTGTTTCGCTGCCATTAAGAAATGAAAAAGCTGTTTTGATATATAAACAGTCTTGGGTTTACTCCATTGTAACTAAACAGCCTTGGGTTTACTTCATCATTACTAAACACTCTTGGGTTTACTCCATCGTTACTGAACAGTCTTGGGTTTACTCCATCGTTACTAAACAGCCTTGGGTTTACTCCATCATTACTAAATAACTGTTTTCTAAAAGGAAAACTTTCAGGAATGTGTGGGTTCTCGAGCCTGTGAAGACAGCAGCTTGAACACTGCGCAGCATTATACATAATTCATTGTCAGACTAGGAAATTTTGTTTTCCATCATGATATTGTTTTTTAATTATGTACTCGACTTGGATTAATATCTCCAAAGAATATGCCAGCAGTTTGTTTCTAATTTTAATATAAGCATTTGCAAGCAGTGGTTAAAGCACTAGGGAGCGAAGAGCCCTTTAGATTGCTTTCTTACTGCATTCATTGAGTGCATCTGCTCACCACTTTAAGTGCAATAAATTGCCACTGATTTCAACAGGACACCTTCAGCCGCAGCTGCAAAGGGACTGATGAAAAACATTTTTAAGATAATTTTCAAAGGGCCTGAGGATGTGAAATGACCAAAGCCATTAATTAGTCTTTTTGACAATCCCCACGAATGTCATTGACATTGTCAGAAATGTTTTAGTTATACACTTATTGTTTCGGAAAAGCCGAACCGTAATAGATTGCTTAAGATGTTTTCAGTTTGCTTGGACTTATTCAGTAAAGCTTTGGACTTTAAATCAGCTCCTGCTACATCTTCGCAATGAAACGCGTTCACTGTTGTGTGCTGCGCTGTGTCCAGCTCACGCTGCTCTCCAGTATTGTGTTACACATAGGTTTAAGAAATTTTACGGTAAAACCAGTTATTGGGCGTATGATTTCCAAGCAGTTTCTAGGTCTTGCTTACCAAATACAGTTCTTGCTGGAACAGATTCTCTGTTAAGCCAGAAGGACACCTGTGACAGTATCACTGTCATGATGCACGGCAGGTAAGTCTGGATGACAAAGTAACCGATCTTTCTCTTCAGATGAAAATGTGTAGTCATAACGACATATTCCCCTAAAAACACGAAAAGCAGGGACATTAAAGCATTTATAGTTACACAAATCAGAGGGCTTTATAGGAAGTGGCTTTTTATTGTTAAAAGAAACAAAAAGTCCTCGGATCAAACTGGGTCAGCTCCGAAGAAAACATTTAATAAAGCAGGTTGTGAAGTTGCACTAATAATACAAAACCAGGCAGTTCTGGGAAATGCTAATTAAATTTACATCTTTTCATCTCTGCTGAGTAGTGAATGAAAGTCTGCATTAGCTGGTGGCTGTTTATGCCTGTTGTGAAGGGTCTTATTCCATTAGAAGATGGAAAAGCACCATAATACACACGTATAAACATCATATAAAAATAAATCAAGGCAAGCACTCGGAAATGTTTCAGCCGGGCCAGGCTTAAGATGCAATTGTTGATGTGGCTGTGTCTGCGTTACCACTGTCTGTGCTTTATGTACTCTGCAGATTAAGTGTCCCTATTCCGCTAATTCAGTACTTTACTAAATTATTCTTCTCTCCTGAAGTAAATGGACAATGCAAGAGTAAAACAGAGTATTCTCATTAGCATTACATTTTTGGGTGCTAGGAAAACACGAGAGCTGCGTATTTGAATTGCAATTAAAAGGAATCTTAAATATTTATGTGACTTTATAAAGCTCTCCTGCCAGAGCACAACAAACAATGCCTTGTTTTCAGATCGTTATTATGCATCATCGCAAACGGACTTTGAAAACCAGGATATTCTCCAAAGACTGGAAAACCTCTTGTTGTGACTATTTTTATTTTGAGTAGATTGATTTTTCTTCTGCAGTAAACATATGAGGAGAGAAACAGGTGGGCATGCAACTGAATGGAAGCCTCCGTCTAGATTAGAGCTGACGTGAATTTACTGTTATTCTGTTATAAAATGTAGGCAGTTGGAAAGAGAAAGTTGCTCTTGTACAGGAAGAACTTAAATTGAATCGAAGAACCATGTCTAGACATTGACTGCTTATGCGCCGAGCATGTCAAATGCCCTTTTCTTTAATTCAGAGCCTAGCAGAACGTTCATTTGAACAATCTCGCTCAATGTATAACCCCGAGGAAAGCTTATAAATAAGATGTGACAATACTCCTGGTACGTTTCAATAGAAAAGGCAGTAGCAGAGAGGGAAAAGCAAATCAATTATGAATTGAGAGGTAAAGCAAAGGATATACAAGGAAAAGCTGCTTTCAAAAATAGGACTGGCAGGAGTAGTACTGAGGGCATTATTACTCGAATTTTGACCACCTTTCTTTAACTTTCTCTGAAACAACCTTCACTTCTTCTGTACCAGAGATGATGATCTTATGGAGGGTGCAGGCCTTGGCTAGAAGAGCCAATAATTTAATTTTATCTGCTAAAATATGACGTGGGAAGCTATTTTAATGCAGTCAGATATGGAATGCTCACAAGGGTGTGTCAGCATTAATTCAGTGATTGTAGATGGCAAGCTAAGAATACGGAGTGAACGCAGAACTGTACTCTGAAGCTTTATTTAGCTGCTTAAATTATCAAAGTATTTTTAACCTCTGGAAAATGAGAACAAGATTCAAAGCATAAAGGCAATTAAAAAGAGAGGGATTTCTCTCATCTGTTAAACCCTGCAGCAGGTCTGAGCTGCAAGGGAGCTAAAGGTAATGTGTTGAGGAGGGAAACAGGCAAAGCACAGGCCTAGAATAGCCCTGACAGTTCAGTTATAAGGCAAAACCATGGTTTTAAGACTCCAAAGTACCACTGGACTGCAGTCATTTATTAGAAGATAGGAGATCTTTGGTGAGATTTATTTAAATAACTCCAGGACATGAAATTACTCCAGTTATTTACTGAAACTTCAGCTTCCCGCATTTTATGGCTTTCCTTAATTGAAAAGCATAGCCACGTTCATGACAGCTGCTGACCACTATCTAACTTCCCAGCAATTCCTCTGCAACTCTGTTCTAAAAGGTTTGTCATTCAGCTCTTAAAATCCCTACAAGCTAGCTCCAAATAGCTCTTGAGCAAAATAGTTCCTATATTCATAGTGCCTGATTAGGAGGCTTGCACAAGTTGTAGTTTATGCATCTGACATTCTCTTATCCAAGGAAATTAAAAGGAAAGGTTTTCTTTATTAGCTTCCTTGGGAATCCTAGAGTTATTTTATATGTATTACGCAATTACATCAAACCTATTACTCAGTGTTCTGTAAACTATTTGTAATAAACCCAGTTTTGAGAATGTCTGAAGTAGCTCAATTACACTCAAATTCTTGGAATATACACGTCTGGAATTAGGGAGGGAGTTCATAATTTTCATTGTATGTGTCCTATCTTAAACCAGAGGACAAAGATGAGCTGCAGGGCTCTGTTGAGGCTGGCTCCAAGTCGTTATTTTGCAGAAGGCAAAGCATTTTTCTTTCCAAAGCAAAAGAAGAAGAATTTGGCCTTGAGACATTCAATCTGCAAGAAATAAATGTGTTTCTTCCACAACTGTACATTCTTATCAGGTGGTAACTAAAGAGGACTGCAAGTTTGGTACTAGATTAAAGAAGATTCTTTAATGGGCTTCTTTTTAGTTTTGATAACCATGCGCTGGCGATGAGTGCAGAAGGGTGAGCACGCAGGTTGCCGAGGTCTCTCCAAATCAGTCCCTTCAGAACAGAAAGAGCAAAGAGCTTGAGATCCTTGCAGTTCCTCCTAAATCCTATTGACTTTTCAGCAAAGGGCAGCTGGGGTCAATGACTGACCCCAAAGGCAGTGGCAACATTTCTAGATGGGGCTGGACCGTTTGTTTTCCCCTTTTCTTTTTACTCATCCAATGCATCCTCCTGTGCTCGATAATGGAAGCAGTGAATCTATGGGAGCAGTTGTGCTGATACTGGTTTTATGCAAAGTCCTTATCACTGCCATCCCACTTCTTTTACGATTACATCAACTGAACAGAAGCTTCCAAGCATTAACCTGAATACTGGTCCACTAGAAACTTTTGTCTGTGAGAAATTTTGGTGGCTTAATAGAGCATATGAATATATTTTGGCAAGCTAAAGAAAAGATTCAGTCATGAATTAGGGTCCACCTTAATTTGACTCGCTTTTCCTTAGATGTTCATTGACTTTATGAATGACACATTAGAAAGTTTGCAGGTATAAATGTGCTACTTTAGTTCAGTCACAACGTCGGGTGCATTCGAAGCAATACAACTACTTCTCCTAATGCAGTGCTTCTTCTGGCCCATTGAACAGTCAATCTAGCCAACACTTGGAGCTCTTCTTCAAGCCCAATGCTCAGTTTATTACTGTATTTAGGTCTTCATGCCCTTTCCAAATTATTAAAAAAAAAATACATCTTGAAACAAACGCTGCAAAGTGAAAAAGCAAAGGTTTTTAGCCAGTTTCAAGGTTACAGGGTATATAACACTATAAATTGTTGGCTATATTCTGTATCTCATTAATAGTTTTGGAGTTAAAGCTGGTGCTAGCATGAAGACACCTAAATCCTGTTTGAATGTTCTGGATGGTTTATAATTTGATCACATTTTTTTCTCTCTCTGTATTTCTCCTTATGAAACTTTATGCTTGCTTTTAGCATCTTACCTCACTGCATCCAGGAATATGATCTTGGAGGATTCATATTCTTATACTATTTTTTAAGCTTATACAGTAACAGATAATATGATAAGGATATGATGAGTGCTTTTTTATAATGTAAACTCCTAATTTTTTCTGGATAGATCTGTCACTATAGGAAGCTTTTCAATTGTTCAAATATTTTAACCACCAGTTGAAGTAGGAAAATAATCCCAGAATATGTTATCTATTCAGTCATGTTTTCCTAATCATATATTCATATATTGCAATTTACCTCTCACACTTCAGTCTTTGTGTTTTTTTATTTCGTTAAATTGCTTTGGCAGTTAAACATGACCCTTCCCAAAACCCCTTTTTCACAGACCTGTACTGGACTGAACAATTCCAGAGTCCACCGTTTGTCCAAGCAGATCGTACTGGTTCAATCGAGAGCCGTCTTCAGCAACAACCACTGACCTTGCTGGTTCCCGTGTCCATTCATACACAACCTCTGCTCTCGTATAAGCATCTAATTTAAAAGAAATAAATTGCATTTCAGCTTTGCACTTTCTATTGCCATATGACTTTAGCAGAACAACGTTTTGAGCAGTAGTTTGAATATTAAATTCTCTGTTGGAACTCATAACTAGTTTACTAGAACTTTGTACCTAGGGGAAATAGAACTGATTTTATAGATCGATCCATACAGTAGTTAGCTAAATACCTGCTGCAGGGCTGGACTAAGGTTGGTGCTCAATGCCATGAAAATCTTTCTCTCTCTTACATCATTCTTACCTATGCAAAAGATACTTGAGTAACCAGAAGTGAAAGAGACGTGGAATTTCATGGGCATACAAGAAGTCCAACTCTTTATCCAGCTTTTAACTACTATTAAGAAAGATGAGCCCCAGTCTTTTCAAACTGTTATAGTGTGGTGTTGTCTGGGCTACTGTAAGGAAATAAGTCGTTCAGAGAGTGGCTTTGGTGGTCTTGACTGATCATCTGCCTGGCTAGAGCTCTCCACTGGATATCCCCTCCTCGCACTGTCCTTGCTGCATAACAGGCAGAGCAGACGTTGCTGAAGCTTCACAATTAACTTTTTTGCTTTGGTTATTTCTGGGAAATGCTCACACTCAAGTTCCCATTTATGTGAGTCTTGAAACAACCAAAAGAAAACCACCGTGGGCTCTCCAAACCTGAGCAGTCTAGTATGTTATATAGATAATTCAGTAGCATACTACATAAGCCATCCAAGTGGTTTATGCTGTTATTAGTATTTGTTATTTCAGGAATCAAATTACTTATATAAATCCTATTAATCTTAGTCTTGTTGTAAAAGTCTTGTGTCATTTTGCCATGTCTGACAGCTCTCACTCTGAGCAGTTAGGGTAGGAGTCAGTTGTCTACACAGAAGCATTTAGTGTCATTCTTCACACCTAAGGGTATCCAAGACGTGTATGGGACTGAACGTGTGATCAGAACCTACATAAAGCTTGCACCCACCAAAGGCAGCTGGAAGCCAGATGGGACATCTTGGGGCATCTAAAATGGCACTAGACTACTACCTACAGGATGAGACCTCCCCTTTTTTCAGGGATTGGAAAGCAGGAAAGGAAAAGGAGGAATCTGATTCACTTGACCTCATTTGTGAGTTAGTAATTTTATCAATGTAAAAGAGAGAACAGTTAGTAATTGAAGAGGTGGTGTTGGATGGAGTGCACTGGTAAATTAATTGCATGGCATTTGATATTCATAATTTCTGCATCTCTTAATCGTTCAGTCAAGGCAAGATCCTCAGTAATCTGGATAGCCTTGCACTTTGTGAACCATGAGTGGTCATGAAACATGCCCACTACTCTGGGACACAACGGCCAGAAAGAACTCAGTGTAGGAAAAAAATTGACCTCATTAATGTTTATAAATTTGTAAAGGGTGAGTGTCAGGAGGAAGGAGCCAGGCTCTGCTCTGGGATGGCCAATGCCAGGACAAGGGGCAATGGTCCCAAGCTGGAGCGCAGGAGGTTCAAGCTGAAGATGAGGACAAAGTTTGTGAGTGTGAGGGTTCTGGAGCATGGCCCAGGCTGCCCAGAGAGGTTGTGGAGTCTCCTTGTGTGGAGACACCCAAAGCCCTGGCCGTGTTCCTGTGTGACTGCTCTGGTGATCCTGCTGTGGCAGGGGTTGCACTGGGGGAGCTTTCCAGGTCCCTTCCAACTCCTCACATTCTGTGATTCTGTGAACTGGAACTCTTGCTCAGACTACGAAGTGTTTGGTGCCTCCATGGTGCACAGATGTGGTGACAAGTACCTTATGTCTATAAAAATTCAATTTAGTAATTCATGTTTGTTCCAAAACTGTTGATGGTTTTTTTAGCAGGGTTTATGTGCATTTAACCCTCTACCCAACCCCCAGATCTAGCATGCAGTCCCCATAAACACTTTAATGTGCATTTCAAAAGAAACTCAAGTGACTAGTCCTGATCTAACTGGGATCTCAGGTGCGCAGATCTCCTGGTATTAATCTGATGGCTGGGCTCAATCTGAAATGTCTTTTCCAACCAAACCCATTCTATGACTATAATCAAGACCCCACTGCAGCTCTTTGCTCTGTTATTAGCTGGAGTAAAGGTTCCCTTCTACCTCCTTCTGTTTAACAAGAGATTTGGGAAGATTTATTGGAAGTCCTCTAAGAAAACTTAACATTCAAGGAGTAAACTATTCTTGTCAGTTATAGCCCAAGTTTGTAGGAGCTTTTTGTTCTCTACATCTTATCTAGGAGGCTAGTAGCTCTGTAAAGACAAAAGCATCGGTCCTTTCTCATGGTAAACATAGAGCTATTCAGCCCAAAGTGAATTATGACCCTGTCTGGTAACCTGTGAAGAATGAATTGGGTGTTCTGTTTGTTGACTTCTAAAATAGATCAAGCCACTAAGTACCCATTATCAGTGAAACGACCCATTTCTACGAGAAAAAAATAGCCACTGAGGAAACAATTTGTACACGGTTACATCTTCCGCACATTTTGTCTTCCTTGTTTGCGTTGAACCAACCAGAGCAAAGCAGCTTTTCATTTTTTTTTCCCCTCTCTTCGAGTTGGAGTGGGGCTATATTTAGTTTTTAAAAATATTATGTTTAGCTAGGTTTGAAAGTGCCTGTGTCAGGGTGGCTGCTACTCAGAGTTTTTGGGGAAATCCTCAACTCAGAGAAAGCTTTGTCAGTGATGACACTGATTTCAATCACATCATATTTTGTCCAGTACGTTCTCTAATCCAGGGTAACAAATGCTGCAAATGGAGATCTGTGAGCTTCTTCCCTTCCAGAAATGTTCTGTGATTATAATAGGAATATTTTCTAATCTTAGGCAAAATTTTGTTCTAAACATGCCAAGACTATGGTAGACGAATTGTTTTCACCTAAACTAATTCAGTTATGCATGGTCTGCATCACTTTTCTCTAACATTGATTTTGAGTCTTAACAAAATAAAGCAACTATAAGATTAACAACATTTTCTACATGACAAACCACTTTTCTAGACATTTAGAGCACTGTCATCTTCTGCTTTTATGAATGTCCAGGCATGACATTGGAGAATATATAAGACACATAGAAGAGGTTCATTATGTTAAATGTAAATATGTATGTAAGAATAAAAATACAACCCTGTGAAAAACACACAAGATTAAAACCTTGAGGTATTCTCAGTTGCAAAATACTTCTGTAAAGTGGTCTAAAAAGGGAGAAACCTCAATTTAAAACAAACTTACAGCTTCCAAATTTCAAGGGGCAAGCATGTGCATCCATAGGAAAGTCTTCTAAATGCATTGGGCATTCTGCTCTCACAGTCAATCTATAATGGATTAATGAGCAAAAGGACACATTTATTCTAGTTTCATAGAAATAGCAAATAGACTTCTATTAAGACACATAGAGTAAGTATAGCATAATATCTGGTTTGTGATTAATTAGCAACTAGAAGGGGACCTGAATTGCCTGGCTCTGCCCCTCTACTGTGTTTCACTCAACAGCAGAGACATGCTCAGACTTCTGACTTGGCGTGAGGATTAAAATCTATTGGAAACTGAAATTGCTTCCTTGCTGCCAGCGTTAAATTGGCCCACTCTGGATGCTCAGACATTTACTGAAATCATTGCATTGCTATCAGCTTGGGTGCGAACGTGTTTCTCAATAAAAGAGATTAAATAAACTAGAAACATCACATACCACACATCAGCAAGGAGTGAACAATAATACTTGAGTACTAGGCAAAAGATTGCATTACGGCACTTGCAAAGGTGAGCAAATAGAAATGGTTATGGTCAAAAGAAGAGACATATGTGAACAATGTGCTGCCAAGATCGTGTTCTTGTGGATTAAATCCCAAACAGCCAAGCATTCAGGAAGACAAGAAAAATGGACCTAGACTTGTATAACTACCAGCCAAGCAGATTCTACCCTAGCCTAGGCAGTCTTGAAAGATGGTGCAGAATAAATTGAACATATTTGACAGGCTCTCAAAAGCCTGGAGTCTTTGTTTTCTCCAGATACTTGTACAGCTTTAAAAAACAACTTTAAAACTTTTAAAAGAAAACTCAGTGTTCACCTACATAGTAAACCATTCATCTTGACTTTGAGTCAACAGAATCACTTCATACCTTTAGTTCCACGGGAGACATAAATGGGGGATATGTAGCTTCAGAGAGACAACATACCATGGTTTTCATTGTTTCATTTGCAGTCTTTTAATGCAGAACGTTTCTATATCATTGTTATTTCAAAAGGATTTAACTCTGCTGACAACTGGATAGCTAAAGTTCAGTTACCCATGAAGACAATAACATGTTTCCAGTAAAAGTGGTGCCAGCACAAAACCAATTATTTCTCCTAACTTTCTAAATGCTTTAATGAATTGTTTTTTTGTTGTGAATGAAATAAGAGATGTTTGGGTTTAGGCTGTCATGCTCTGTATTCCCAAGCACAAGAAACATGAAGAATGGGCAGCGAATTCTGTGTGCATTTGCTAGGTCTTAGAATCTGCTTTCCATAGGATCCAAAGATTAAAGACCTCTGTACATGATCTAGAAGTCTAGATTATATTAAACCTCCAACTAACCAAACTAAACCACTGCAAATGCCTCAGTTTGTCCATCATTCCATGGCCTATTACCAACAGAAACCACTGCCTATTACCAATGGAAATAATTACCAAGCAGTCATCAAATTATGTTCAGAAAATAGGATGCTTTAACAAGTCCAATTGCCAAACTAATTGAAGGATACAACATGTTAGGACTCACCTCATTGTGTATAGCAATGTCCCGTCCTCTGTAATTCGTAATAGTTTATTTGGCATCGTCATGTTATGAGCCACTGACTTCTTTCCATTGTGGAAAAAGGTATCAGGTGTCCAGATTTTGCTGGCCATTAAATTATTTAACCGGAGAACAGTCATAGGTCCTTTGAATTTTAATCTCTCATCTTTCCAGCTTTGGCGGAAAAATACATCTATGGTGTATTCCTACATCAATTCAAAATAAAAAGGAAACGCTTATGATGCCATAGGCTGCAATATGAAAGCTTGAAAAGTATATTTTTACCATTCCCTAGAAGCAAAAAGACTATTAATGAAATTAGTAATTATCAGAACGTTTATACTCTGTATCACTTACAATGTAGCTGAAGTTGGTTATTAAACAGTTACAATATCATTACTGTGTTCAACACAATAAGGGTTAGGAAGAACAGTATAGCAAAAGTTGGACAAGAATTAAATATAATATAGTGGAAACAAAATAATTCTCCCTTTTCTAACTTTTCCTTCACCTTCCATAAAACTGTAATTTCAAGCTGTGGATATGTAGCCTTCATCACAGGAAGATTAAGCCTCTTAGAAGAAAACAAGCCTGGTGAGGCAGACTTTTCTAGAGCCTTTAGCTTTAAGTGTCTCATTAGCACAAACATGTAATTAACCTGCCAAAAGGCCACAGTTCACTAAAATGATGGGGTCTGATTTATGAGATGTGGAATGGCTCATTGGGCCAAGTCATTGGGTACAGAGAGCACAAGCTGAGGACAGCTTTGGACTGAGAATTAGTTTGGTTATTTGAGGCCTGGGTCAATGGGGAAAAGATGAAGTGGCTGGCTCAGTGTACATGAGGAGAATCAAAATACCCAGGACGCACTAGGAAATGAAACTATTATTTGTTATAAAGCAACAGGAACAAAGTTAGGTGGGAAAGGGTGAAATTAGGACAAACATGTTGATGTATTATACATAAAATACAGATTTATATGGAGTGAAAATGTGAAAAATCTCCTGTGGGTGCAGCATAGTATAATATTTTTCCAGGGAGAAATTCCACTCAACATCAAAGTTCAGTATGGGATTGTCCTGCTCCTTCGACGACTCATGGCTATGATATTGCAATAGACATCAAAAGCAGCTACCCAAACACTGTTCAAAATTACCCTGAATGATCATCTTTTGGCTGAGAAACTGAACCTTTTGCTGAGATCTCCTGCCAATGGAGATGGCAAATCCTTAACTAAAGGAAATTCCTATGTGTGAAGGCAGACCAGGACAAGGAAAAGAGCTGCCACAAGGGATAGGTTAGCGAAGAGAACATTCTGGAACAAGTACACAGAAATCCCTGCGGCCTAAGGGATCCCCTGTGGACTAAGGGTCCTAAGACTCCCTTAGACTTGTGCTTTTTCTTTTAACAAATGGCAATGCTCTGGGCAACAGCACCAGTGAGCTGTTTACTCCTTGTGCAACTCTCAGCAAGTAAGAATGGTGAAGCTTACTGGTGGTGTTTATCCTGGTTTTAAGGCATGAAATGCCTAAATAAATCTATTGTAGACTTGGAAATGTTGTAGTTCTATGAGCGTAGTTCTTACTTCAGGTTTGTTTGGGGTTTGGTTTGGTTTTTATTTTTCCAATTTGCATCCCAGACCTGTGGATCATTTTGGTGCACACTTAATTGCATTTCCGTCTTTTTAATGGCGTGCTCAGTGAGCTGCTGAAGCCTGGATATGTTCAGCTCCAGTGACAGCAGTTGCGCACTTACAGCCAACTACTGGTTTCAGATTTTTGTTGGTTCCGACCCTTAGGTTGAACTGTGTGCAAACTCTCGTCCCAGGTGTGCAGCAGAATAGGAGGGAAGGAGGTTTAAAATGCAGTAGATGGCATTAAAATATTGGATTTCCTCCATGTTTTACTAGCTCCAAAGAAAATTTCCTCCTACGCACATGAGGAAGGTAAAAGACATGCCCAGAAGGTGACATCATTTCAGTGTGCATGTAAGCCATTCCCTTTTTATCTCTTTCAACTGCAGAGAAGGAGGTGAGTGGGAGGTGGCACAGGTTGAGAGAAAGGAGTCTGGTTCTTCACTTTGTATGAACACAAGGTTCTTATGCTGGAAAAGAACAAAGAGCTGAGAGATTTGATAAGCGACCTGACAGCGTAAGGCAAAACGCAATTAAAAAGTAGCTGACAGGTCATGGCTGGCACAGACTAAGTCTTTCTCCAGCCCAGGCTGCTGCACCATATAGGATGAATTCATTTTGGCTGAGGTTTCTCAGCTCCTTGGCTTTCACTACCCACTTGAACATGTACAGTAATTCTCCTCAAATGAATCCTGACAGACAGCTGATCTTTTAGATCAAGTCATCAGACACTCTGATTAGGGCTTCCTTCTACAGGCGAGTGCCATACAGAACAAGGAGCAGAAGGGTTTTCTCCAAACCATGTACTATAGCAGCACTCTATGTCCAAATATATAAGCGAGATTAAATTCAGATTAAATCCTCCATGGTGGAGACTCTTCGTTCCTAAGTGCACAGGTAAAGAAAGAAGATTCCTATCTGTACTTTGGCAATAAGTTGCATGGCATTGAATATTTATAGTATTTTGACTCAAATGTTTTCCAGTTTACTCATTTGATATCTCTCCTTGGAGACTGTTTATTCAGAGTGGACCATACTGTGGTCCACATCAGAAGAGGTGCTGTGCAGGAAGGTAGTAAAACAGAAGTTTGTTCCTGAAAAGCTTCCAGTACAGAAGCAGTGGGAACAAAGGTTTACAAGAAAAAAAAGCAACTCCATCTTTATGAAAAAACGTAATTTAAAACTGCTTCATATTCTGGATAATAGACAGTTACCCCAAAATGAGTCCTGTGAGAATAGCCACTTATCTGTTGATTAGCTCAGTCCACCGTCTGAGAGCGCACGCCTCAAAACTTGCAAGGTTCTTCCAAAAAAGGATTATTTTATTTTAAAAAGTGCTTTTCCTCCTGTTTAACTTTATTCACAAGTTTAAGAGCAACCCAAGACAGTCTCTTTATAGAATAGCAGGTTATGTCTATGCTGCTTTTAAGAGAGTGTATTGAGAGTGGGTAGGAACACCATGTACTCCCTGATATATCAACCTACTATGTATGTAAGCGCCTGGTTGGATTCCTGCTAACAGATGGTGTAGGTACGCTGGTGTCTCACTCTGGCTGGAGTTTCATAACATATGGCATCAGCTGGAGTAGCTCCCGGCCGCTTCCCAGCCGTCACTGCTGGGCTCCGACAGCAGCGCGGCATTCCCTGCGCGCCCATACGGCTGCCGTGAGGCTTCCCTGGGACCGCATCCCACAAGCCAGTCTATGCTTACTGTAAATCTGCTCGCTGGAGCAAATCTGGGGTAGCCTTGAAACGATGGTGGCTACAACCAACCTGTAGTGTGCATACAGGACTTTGCACTAAGTGTACTTTGAAATTAATATAGACTTTATATTCTGGTAAGCTCTTCATTTTCTCTTTTTCTTTCTATCTCTGATTTCACACTTCCTTGAGCAAAAGCATTAGTGTGAGTAGGCTGCACACGCTTTACTTCTTAGGGGAGGTGTGTGGGAGTTTTACACTAAATACTTTTCTGTAATCCCTTAGTTTTTTAAAACATGTGAACACCTGCCCGTGTCTGTCTTGGCCACACACTTTATTCAGAGACTGATGAATTCTTTCTCCTGTTTAACTCAGTGAAAATCAGGAGCCAATGTGATCTGGGGTTTGAATTTTTTTTGTAGGTGGCGATCACTTATGCCATGGTAATTCAGCTATACTGAAGTCAATGATTTCTTTCTCAAATATGCCCATTCCTATTTCCGAAAGCAGATTATTTCTGGCTCCAGTAGTTTATTCTTCCTTAAAACCCAAATCCCATAAAAATACCAGGTTGTCCTAGGAAAGTCAAATCAGCTTTATCTTCTACATAACAATTAAATCACCTGAAACTACAAAGTATAAGCTGATGCTGAAGTCCAAACATTAAGTAACGTCTCAAGTAATTCAGCAGACCTAGCAGTTACTCTAAACTTACGTCTACATGTAGGAAAGCATCCATGACCACTTGTTTGTTAGACTGCTATTTATCACTGGAGTTTCACAGAGCAAACAATAGCTTAGCCAGCTGACTTATAGAAAACAACTGTAATAAATAGCAATACAGAGCATATATTCACCTGCAAATATCTGTCACTTTGTTGTTGTTGTTCACCTCCCACAAGCATCTATGCCCAACCCAGTAGTTTAATTCACATTAATTTTCAGGAAATTATCAAAACTGCCTACAGTTTTAGTTGAAGGTGAACTACTGACAGTTTTGTGGTAAGCAATGGAACTTGTTTCCTTTCCTGTGGTATTTTTTCTCTCTTTTATTTTTGCCTTTGTTTTGGTGAATGTCTTTAGCTAAACGTAGACAGCTGCAAGGTTGAACTGGGTTCTTTTCTTCATGTAAATCAATGAGGATGTTTCCAGCATTCATCGCAACACAGGATCCAGCAGATACTGGTAGCTGCAGACCAGGCTCTGCCTGTCAATACCAACCGACTTGTGAAGACCTCATTTCTATGCAACATTTCAAGTACCCCATCCATATTTTTACGCAACTTTCAATATCTCTTAAGACCAGGGCTCGCAACATCTTCATGCAGTTTTCTGAACTTCTCCATCCCCTGCAGTTATCTAGCAATTTGATTTTAATATTCGCTCCCTAAAGAAGCGACACTAATTCTCTCATTAATCTTCTCTTCTCTTTCAGCAGCCAAGATCTAGGAAAGTCACTTCCCATTGATCAGTAGCTTTTAATATAAAAATACAGGTTGGACTGTATGGATGTCACACTGCAGGCACAAGTGTTAACTGCGTTTTAAGATGATGATCTTTCTCGGCAAATTGGATCAGTGATGTGCCAGCATGGACCTGAGCAATCATCCTCAGAAGAATACAGATCCAAACCCTAATGCATTTCATAATATGTTATGTAGCAAATATAAGGTCTGTTAAAAGTCACCGAGGCTGCTAATTTCAGGGCACTTAAACGCAGTCACAGCTAGCAGGAATTGGTTGCATATAAAAGCTGACAGCATTTTAGAATCAAGGATTTCAGAAAAAGCCCAGCCTTAAAAGGAGTAAATAAGTTATTGCATAGATCTTTCACCCTCCAAATTAAAAAGACAAGAGAAAATGAATGCTGTAGAAATATAGGCCACCACTTACCATATCATGGTCTGAAACGGGCCCAAAACTGGTGACGAAGATGTCAGTCTTCACTTCAGTTACACGCTCTGATGAAGCAGGAAATTAGGACAGTGAGTGTCTATCAACAGCCTTCGTTAGATCTAGCCACTACCAATCCGCGCAATAAATAGAAAAGTTATTGGCTTTGATTAGCCACTCTAAAATTGGTCTACAGTATGGTCCCGATAATTTATTGCTTCTAGATGTAATTTCACAGTCAATATCGTCAGCAACAATTTGTTCTGTTTCCACAGAACTTTTTGAGACGTGCCGTGTCACCCACAGTACAGCAGCCACAGCTCCACTGCTGTGTAAATCTTTTCACTCTTTGAGTAATAAATCTTCTTGCCTGACAATATAAACAGTGCTGAATATTTTACACAGTGCTCGAAAGTCTCATCGGGTATTCAGTGTTTCTGGGCAAGCTGAATGAAGGTCTCTAATAATTAACCCTGAGTTTATGAATTATGTATTTCGTATTGAGACACAGGAACACAGAAAAAAAAGCGAGAGAGAACATACATTACGGTGTATGAAAACATAAAGCTATTTTATTGACATGAGTTGGAAATGGCTGTATTACCCAAAGCTTCGATAAACAAAAGGGAGTTATTTTTTTTCCAAGTAACTCTCAGCTAAACTTGCTACTACAATTTTTGACTTAGGTATAAATGTTATGGTTTGTAAATCTTTTAGATTACTTTTTAAACAGATAAGGGCACTATCATTAAATTTCTCTTAAACTACCAAATTTGTTTTATAGGCCTCAACGATAGTTTCATGTAAATAATAATTCAGAAACGTACAGAACACAGATTATACTTATACGCAATGTTAGAAAGCCAGACTTCTCTGATTTCAAGGATGTACGTTTGCTCCGCGGCACACGGTATCACTCCCTTCTGAGCATATTGGTATTTTCTAGGCCACACATCACAAACTATTCACCCAGGGTGGCATATATCAGAATAACTGTTGATTTAAATATAGCTGCCAGGAGTAACACCACCTGGAGGCATAAATCCAAACCGCGCTGAGTGGAGCTGACCCCATCAGCTTCCAGAACTTGCAGTGGTGTGAGTCTGAATTCATTTACTACAGCGTTATGCATGCCAGTGTGGGGCACTTAGACTTGTCAAATGCAGGAGGAGTGATAAGTTTCTCAAGTAGCTTTGAAGACAAGAAATAAATTGAGAAATATGGAGTATTAAAAGTAATCCTATAGAAAAGAGGCTAGCAGTAAAGTACAGGTATAGAAAGCAAAAGTCATGCATCAGGCAAACTTTTTCATAAATAAATGTATATGTGTAGCTATCTGTATAATGTTATTTAAATATTGTAAAATAATTACATTTAAAAACTAATGTAATAGAACCCTCTGATTTCAAAAGACCCTGTTTAAATAGGGTTTTTTCCAATCTTGCAAGGAAGTTCTGACACAAGAGGAGCGAAATAAGGAATCAGGGCTAAGCAGCCAGTAACACTGTGCATTTCCAGTAACACTGTGCATTTCCAGTAACACTGTGCATTTCCATTAACACTGTGCATTTCTGTAGCTGATGCAAAAGCTCCAACGAGAACTGGTGTTTTACAATGCATATACGGGTTTTCAACTTTCATTCCAAAAAGTCTACAGCCTCTAAATATATATAAATGTAAGCAGTTTAATGTAAAGGTTTCATATATATACAGTAAAGTATCTCCTTTGGTGAGACAGCAATGATCAAGATGTAATATTAGATCTGAGTCTACTGCCATTCAAGTGATGCACTGAATGACACTTGTATTCTGTCAGGTGGTAGCAAAAGTGATCTCCAGGACTCATTAAAAGAAGTCTAAAGATGAACATTCCAATGTATTATTCATCATCGCAGAAAGTAAAATACTATGATGTAGCTGAACTTCCTAATAATATTATTTTCCTTCTTTGCATCTGTGACTGAGACGTGTAGAAACTATGGTGACTACTGACAAAAGCATGGGATAGACGGAATTTCCTTGGCTGTACAGTGAAATCCATGCATCACCCCATCATTGTTTACAAGCTTTTCAACTGACTTGACGAAATTTAAGTATTCTTTTGATATCTAATTGGCTCTGGACTTAAAGAAGTTCACAGTGAGAATTTAACCTTCTATTACTGGAAGAAGCACGTGGTTGTCCAGAAATGGTTTGTGCTTAGTAATGGGGGAAAAAGTATTCTGTCCTTCAGCCCATCACTTTCCTGTAAGTTGAAGAGGCTGTGGTCTTGTATGAAACAACTGGCAGAAGAAGAGAAGAGATTTCACGAGGCCCAGTAAAACATTGCTGAATGGATTCTTTAAGTTCCAGCTATTGAATCACCTTTTCTTAAGACTGAGAAACTAATATCAGCTTGAAACGTGTTGGCCTTTTACATATTGAAAAGTGAAACTCTCTCTTAAAGGTCTTTCATCTTGACTCCCTATCTTTCCATCTCCTTTCTCTTGAGGCACTTCCACTGGTGTCATTAGGAGACAGAAGATGCTAGAAGCTCTTCAGATACAATGCATTCAGCCCTTAATGGTGTAAACTCAGAGACCCAGTTCAGGGTGAGCTTCTATTTAGTACAATACAGCTAAGTGATCAACCTTGCACTGACACAGAATATGCTTTTTGAATCAGTGGCATACCATGTAGTGGTATCCTGATTTCTAGTTTTGGGAGACATATGGTCGCAGGAGAGAGGCTGAGGCTTAAGGAAATCACTTTGAGGACACAAAATGGAAACTCAAGGCTTTGGCAGTAAGATAAATTAATTCCAAGGGACTGCAAAAATGAGTGATGCCTTTCATCTCTGTGTAACATTGAGGATCATCCACGTGGCATGCAAATCGTAAGTAATATTAGAAAATGCCACTTGTGAACTCACAAGAGATTGTGTTATCTTCATACTGATTAGACTTTTGCAGAGCATCTAATCCCTGGACTCTTCAAATCCAGATAAAACCACTGCGCACACACCACCAAATTATTTCTTTTTTCTTTGATATGTTCCTCCTTTTCAGGAGCAATGAAAAAGAGTGTATGAACATGCAGAAAAAGATTAGCCCCTCCAAAGCCATATGGAAGTTAGAAAATTTTGTTTACTGTTTTACTAATTAGATGATTCAACTGTGCCTTGTTAAGAGCTTCAGAAGTTGTGAGTCACTCCTGCACAGGACATGTGTTTACTCATACGGTTGGGACACATATTTAGAATCAAGGTTAACCACGTTCAGTTTGCAGCTTGATTTCCATGAGAAGGCTTAAACTGTGCTTCAAATGCTCAGAATGCATTTTTCAGGAAGCTCAAATCCTGAGCTGTAATATTCAAAACCTTCCCAATAACCCTAAGAGTCAGAGAAAATTCGAAGTCATTGAACAAAACAAGCTCAGGTCCGGAGCTGGTTGGACAAATCCATCAGTTGTAAAGATGTGTTAACCACGTCTCTTGACTACAACAGCTATCTCATGAACCAGGACTAAGAAATATATAGTGATATCTGTAGTACACGTAGCAATTCCGGTACATAAAACCCAAGGAAATTATTGATGAATTATTAGTTTTACTATAAGGCAATCACAGGGTCCAAGTGCTGATCAGCAAAACAGCAACTGAGCCCCTCACTTAGACACCCTGGAACCTCAGCCAGTTGATCCACGTATAGCGACGAGGGCACCAGTCAGTGTGAAATGCTGTCATTTTACCATTTACAACCACTGTGGTTTGCTAACGGTGCCAGAATAAGGTAACCTCTCAAAATTAATAACGATGAATATTTTGCTTTAAACTCCCAGGGAGCTCATTATTGCTAGACTTGTGATTGGATTACAAATTGAGAACAAAATAAGAAAACCAGATTTATTTAAACAGCAGGAAATAAGCCTATTTATCAAGGGAAACTATACATTAACTATTTCCCTTTCTGACCTGCCGGTATTCGAGCGCAAGGCTTATTTGAATTGCGTGGTTTGGTGGTTTAAATGAATTCCATCTTTTCTGGTTATGCACTTGTTCCTCCTGCATATCTCGTGTAAGTGTGTGCTATAATTATTAAAATAGAGAAGATTTTTCCTATGGCTTTGATTGAAAGGAACTGAGATGCTTGTTGAGCGTACGCTATTATTACTAAAAAAAAGTCATGTAGACTCATCACCCCGGCTGCATCCTATGAAGAATTTTGATTGAAGAGCCACAACAAACACATTCATAAGAATTTTGTGCTGCTGCTTGTGTAAAAGTAGAGACCAAAAGGGAGAACAGTGAGCTGCCCTGTGATTTCCAGCTGTAATCCATGCTGCTATGAAGGGTTTGCTGGGAGCTGCGCAGTGTCATGGCAGCTCTCCCCATGCCAATTAACAGCTCAAAGCAGCTCATATCTTCCCTACCTCCCCACTGTTGTCTTAAATCAATTTTCCTAGGGTCTTCTATGGCTTTTTACAGTTGCCTTTACACCAATGTGATGCCTACAGAGTAGAAAAAAGACCAAAATCAGCCCTTTCAATTTTTACAGATTTAAGTCTAGTCCTTCTTCACTTACAGAATTATGTGCAGGGGTCCAGTATAGGAGACTTCTTTCATTTAGTGTAGAAACATTTAGGTTTAACTAGATTTTTATTACACATACAGACCAAACCCACATTTGCCCTAAACTTTGAGTTTGCTCAGAAATGAGTTCAAATCCAATTTCCATGGGGAACTCAATCACCAAGAGGTAAATTTATCATATATTTATAGATAAAGTTCTCATAAAACTGAATTTTAAAACCTAATTAACACGATACTGTCAAGTTTGTTTTCCATCACTTTAAATATAAGCGCTCTGTGGAATTAATGAATTGCCTGAGATGGACCAAAGTTCCACTTAAGGACAGCCACACTCAATTTTGATAAGCATCACACAGGAGAGATCAACAAATAGCTTTTACTGATAGCACAAAGCAAGTATAACTCTGTTCAATACCAAAGTAATGTTGATCATCTACTTGGGATGATCTAATGGGCATTCGACCCAACTCTAAAAGCAAATCTCATTTAGGAAGTTTCTGGTCAAACTCAAGTTTGTTGTTCTTAGTTCTGTATTAAACCACCCTTGTACTACAAGATCCCTCTCAAAGAGATAAACCTCATTTATCATTCTAAGTTAAAAGGTCACTGACCACATGAGATCCATTACTTTGAGAGAGCGGGTGTGTGCACTGCAAAGGCGTTAGTCCTAAAAAAACCTGCACCTGATTTTGTGTTATGAAATTACAATTTTGTGTTATGAAATTATGATTTTGTGTTATGAAATTACAATTTCGTGCTATGAAATTACAATTTCGTGTTATTTCATGTTCATGAATCTCAGTAGCAGGTACTTGCAACCTGCCCGGTGCACGCCTGCCCAAACCTACCCTGGGGGCATGCCAGGGCTCATCAATATTCCCCACGTGAAGACAACCCAGAGCAAAAGGCAATGGCATATCCATTTTTCCGAGGAACTTATCTTTTCTATCATTTTTCTTTGCTTTTCAGTTCTTTTAAACTCCTGCTCCAGACATAGTGGTTTACTATGGAGAGGTCACCCAACACTGAGGTTGAATTTTCCCACTTATTTGACTCCTTCCCACCACTACCTGATCCTTTATTTTGTTCAGGATTGTGTAGTTGAAAAGGGAACAGCATCTTTATTCTTTTGCCTATTTTTGATCACCTGTAGTTGTAGGATCCAGACAGCTTCCACAGAAAATTATGCCATTGCCTAAATGACTTCCCTGTTTATTTTTTTCCCTTAATGTCTAACATAATTTCCTCTTTTTCAGCTACAATATGTTACTGTCTGCAATTCCTCCTCCTTGCTTTTGGTAAATTATTACCCTCTCATAGAGTTAATAGGTGTCCTCTAGTGTGATTCAGAAGGTTTTTACATTCACTTTGAAAGTTCTATTTTCCAGGCATAAATAACTGTAAATGTAGTCATTTGTCCATGTTTATGGATGGGTACAACAGATGCTATTTCCTAGCAATGCCTGACTAAGTGACTATGCCCACATATGAAGGAGGCAAACATCTAAATAACGTAATTTATATCAATAATTATTGATAAGAGCTGCAAATGTACCAGTGCATAACACAGCGCTGTGTGCTCCTTTTAAAAAAAAAATCAGATTGATTTTAGCCACAATACCAGTTTTAAATACTGAGCATATTCAACCAATATAATTTTTCCCTGTGGGTCATCTGCTCGATTATTGTTATTTTTCTTGTGAATGAGAAATAATTCCTCCTTTGTTCAACAGCAAAACGCTCAGAGCTGCTCACTTAATTTCAGATATGGCCTGACTGGGTTATATGGTGAATAATAATTTTAATTCCCCTACTCTTCACTGAGCATATGCGTTTTTCAGTTTTCCTTTGAAAGCAGTACCTCAAAAGGTCCCATAAAAAGGCAAGGGAGAACTTACTATTCATCTAGCACTGATTCCATGCATGCTGAAAGAGCGATTCAAAATTCAGCACCTCTAAATTTTTCATTCTCTTCATGCTCCACCTTTGAACCTGCCTTTCCAATGAATATATAGCATAGCTCCAAAAACATAGCTTGGTAGTGAGGTCTCTCCAGAGGCTTGGTCCTGGCTTCCCGATGCCCCATCTGCCTCACCAGGGTATTTCAACCAAACAGTGAACCTGGTCACCACCCTAATAGGAAGTTTGCAGACTTGGGATAGAGAAACACCATGGTGTTTATTTTAAAAAAGAAGCTGTTACTCCTATAAGTGAGTAGAGCCAGATTGAGATCAAACTCCTTTCACAATTCATTACAGATTTTCAGTAAACCTACCTTTTTGTCACTGAATTCTTCATGCATGCACATAAACACAAGGAGAATCAAATTAACTGACTGAAGGAGCTCTACCATCTACTTTTTCTTCCACAAGTGAGAAAGAGAGGAATTGGTTCTCTTTCATGGTTCTCTTGATGCACAGAAGCCTCTTTTCTCTATCTGAAAAGCTGCACTCCAGAAGGAGAGGTCGTACAGGGATAAGCAGAGGGTTTTCTACAATACTGTAGGAGAAAGTAACTGTACCACGCAATGCTTTACTTCATCTGCTGCTTCTCAGAAGGCGTAGAAAGAAGAGGGCAGACAATTTTGGATAACTGGGAGGGTGCTGTAGCATCATCCGTGGTGCACAGATTTACATTGTGCCTAATGGTCTAACATTTATCAATGTAATGCGTATGTAGCAGGGCCTCTGGTCTCTCAAATCTCTGAGAGCTACACCACAGTTAATATGGAATGAAGGAAATTTAGACCTTAATCTGTTTATCTAAAAATGCTGTTACATTGGTAGCTTTCTTATCTTTCTCTTTAGAATAGGTGCAAATTGTGTTCTGATTGAAATATTTAATAAGAAGCCATCACTGATATTGGGGAGAAAAAGGAAACCACTGCTCTTCCATGCACATTTTAACACTTCCAGCAACAGATTACGTTACAATAGAAGGCTATTGAACTTCCAACTCCTAAAACTGTGCTATATTCCACATATATTGATTCAGATTTCTCACTGGCTGTTTTTACGTAAGGAACGTTTCAGAATTCATATCCCCAATATACAAACTGTCTAAAACAAATGTGTCAAAACTGAGCCATCTTGAGGTTCTTAGCTCATGTTTCGACACCTCAGCAAGAAGGTTTTGCAGAGGTGAACTTCAAAATTCCTGAGCAAACCTTTTAACATAAATTTGGTACCAGAATTGAAAACACTGGCCTGGATGTTCGTCCCTAGGTTTTGAAATCTATAATTTATACCTTTTGAATAAAGCGTTATTCAACAGTTGAAAGAGCAAAGCTACTTCTTACTCCACTTGATTTTAAACATTAATTTACTGCCCACAATTTCATTAGATGGAAGATGTTTTTAGTGTCCTGGTACTCTTAGTTCTAGTATTCAAAGCTGACAAATATAACAGATGAATTACATTTACTCTGTGAAACCACATTGTACTGAGCAACAGGGAAACAGTGATATATGAGGTTCTTGGCTACAGGCAAGAACATGCAACACAATTCAAAAAAGGAGGAGACAAAGATTATTTAAACTTCTCTAACCCTTGCTTGAAGAAACTGCTCCAATCCTGCTTTCCCTCCACCCCATATTTCCTGTGCTTTACTCATTTTTTACTTTTAATTGATCGCGATGCAAAGGGCTGTTAAAGTCTGTGGAGAGACTCACTTCCTCCTGCAGAAGCAGTCACATTAAACATTAGATCTATCTGTCCGGAGTACATTTTAACTGGACTGGGTGATCCTTTCATGAAGCACACAGACCAGTTCTCCCAGTACCCCCTTGAAGTCTGGCTTCAGGAACATATATATAAACACACATAGATAAAGACTCTATACTGATGTGCTTATTTCTCTGAATTGTGATCCAGAAAATGAGAGAAAATCCTTTCCCTGTGTCTGCCTTTGTCTGCTTTTCCAGTAACTGTTAATCACAGTAGCTACAAACTCATGTAAGAAAGCATCATGTGCTCAGATTTTTCTTCTAGACATGTACCAGGCTCTGCACAGTTTACACTTCCATTTATTTCTTGCCTTCCCTGCTATGTTTATTTACTGTGATATAGTAGCTGGCTGAATTGTACAGCTGCATTAATCAAAGATTAAGGAGCATTTATTTCTATACTAGTCCCAGGGTTTATGAGTAAGCAGGCAAAACTACTGGTAGATACAAGTAAAAAGTAATTCTTATTCTGATGTGTATTATCTGGAATTGCACACAAATATTTACTGACCAACCCATTTTTAAATGTGTTAATTAATACTTTCTAACCAGAACTTTATCTTTATCCACTCCTTGAAGTTAGCGAAGTCAAACCACTGAAGAAGCTGGCTCACAATTCAAGAACTGTTGCAAGATCATAGCCTCAAACCGCAGAATAAGCTCACTTCAATTACCTCCCATTTCATCTGCAGGAGATGGTATAAAAGCTCTTAATGTAATACCCTGTTCTTCCTACAATGCAGCTCCTCTGAGAGCTATTAATGAAAACAGGTTGACCTATGCTTTGTGGGGTGAGTTGCTTTGATTTGTTTTATCTGAGAAGTCCAAAATAAATACCAAAAAAACCCCAACCCAAAACATCTGAAAGAAGAGCAACCAACCTCTCCACGCACTGGAAACAAATCTTGTTTGTATGTTTAGAACTTCCACACTTGTGAACACTGAGCCCTTAAACCCAATTTTGGGATCTGCCACAACAGAACAAATCAAGGAGTGGATGTAGGGATGCTCGTAAAGACCAGGCTTTGTAACAGTGTTTTTATAAAGATGTCATTACTATGTGTTTTTATATACCTTTTTATGGATTCAGCACCAAGAGCAAAGGAAGAAAGACATTTTTACCAAGCTGTGAAGACAAAACGTTACAGAAGCAAACCCTGACATACCTAAGTAGAAAAAAAAAAATCATACAAACTTTTTGGAGACGTTGATGACTAAGGTTGATGGATGCTTTCACTTTTAAAACCAAATCCTCTTATGAAGATAGTCATAGATAAATGAGCTGTTTAGGCCTGATTCATAAGCCTGACATTTGTCAGGTCACAGGTCGTATTTTATTATCTTTTATTCTTTGTGCATTTAAAGTTTTATTACGTATTCAGAGGTCTTTTTGAATTGTGAGCCATTTTCTTCTTATTTGGGGTATAAGCATGAGCAAATCAAGCACGTGAAAGACAGAGAAGGCACAGTAGTTTTGAAAAGATAGATATTATATATCAGCATTCTTTTATGAGCATATATAGACAGAATTAAAACGAGTATGTCATGGAAAAATAACACTGTTTAAACTGATTCTTATCTACCATGTAACCTTAAAAATGGTAACACAACACACCTCCCAGTCCTGGTCTCAAGCGGTTATCATAACCGTCCAGCAGACGATCCAGTATTCTGGTAAACACTGTGGTGTTGTCTTTGAGTTCATCTTGTGATGAGGTTTGTCCATAGCTGAAACACAGAACGGTCAACACTGAAAACCAGTAATCCACCAACAACCTCACAAAAGAAGCATTCCAAAACCTGGTTAATCTTCCTCATGCTGGTTTACGGCCACAAAACCTCCTCCATAAAACAAGATGGTAGTGCCTTATGGGGTTCCTTCACTTAAACTTCTTAAATTGTTTAGTTTTTGTAAAATCATTGAAAGGCAGTGTTTCCCTCTAAACGTTGAGCAAATCAAACATCAGCTCCTTAATGTTTATCTCATTATTCATTAATTGTGACAATATTTTTATGCGTTCCTCAGTAAAAGGCTCATTTGTCTGCAAACACGTGTGCACAAAAAAGATCTGTTTAATTCATAGTAGTTAGAAAGGGTTTGCAAACGAAGATACAATAACTTAGAACACTGACACTTAAGTACCGAAAATAAATGCAAAACCAAAACTAAAACAAAATACAGAGATGCTCTTGTGAATATAGAAGTAAATCAAGTGAGTGTGCATTTTTACAGGTCAATATATAAGTTTGCTTTATTTTATTTCCCTTTTCCCTTTAGCAATGAGATTTGGAGCAATGCCTCCCACTTTTCCTTACCAAAGTGTAACAAAATCATCTCTTGATATGGAAAACTCTCATGTCTGTAAAGCTTTGCTTACAGATCCCTAACGTGTATCTCTGACTCAAAGATCCTGAAATTTGGCTTGAACAGGGATAAAATGAAGTTCTTTGAACTCAGCTACCAAAAATCTTCCTTCCATCAACACAAATCAGAATGAAATCCTTGGCCTTGGTGGTTTCTTTCTGCTGTAGCTGACATCAGAATCAGGATTTTTTCTTAAATCCAAAACCTTTACCAAACACCCCGTCACAGCCAATCCCCTCAGTCGCAGGTTACAGCCGTCTTAAAGCCAAACCCAGCATCGTTTTTCATTCATTGCTGGGAAGACACAAACAAGTCACAAACAAGTGTAGTCGTCACGACTAAAATCAAAACCACTGCTTTCCAAAGCATCATTTTGTCACACATTGCTACTGAACGGGATAAACAGCACAGGACCAAACACTTTTGTTAGGACCAGGGCTGGTCCCAAAAGTGATTTGTCCATTGGGCAGCTCAATGTCCCCACAGCCACAGAGATGCACGGCTCCCAGTGCTCTGCTACTGGTCCTGCTCCGACCAGCAAAGACCTTCTTATGAGGAATGAACTCCTACATTAAATGAGTCTGTTAAAATACCTACAAGATTATTTTCTGTAAGCTGCATCAGCCAAGCATCCTCTGTGTACCCCACGTGTATATTCCACTTGTATCAAACACGGAGGGAGGATAGATACCCTGGGTATTGGTGCTCTGGAAACGCTTCTGAGTTAGTCCGCAGTACAGGTTTGAATAAGTAACACTGCAAATTTAAATGAGTTTCAAAACTGACACTCCTAGGAGTTTTAGTAACTTCTGTTTTATTTCACTAGGGTGTGACTTTGTAGAGAACAATTTCCAGGGGTTTTTAATGCATATAAATTGCAGTTTCTAACGAAAAAGACAAAAACTCTCATAGTTTTAAAAAATACCACGAATTTCCTCTAGCTATATCACATGATTTAATTTAATAAAAAAGCAGGTTGATTTATATTTCTTTTTCATACCTACAGTTGCATTTTAGGACACAGACGCTATCAGTTTTCTTCTTGTATGCTTCCTATATTTTACCAAATAAGTTCTCCTGCTGTCTCCAGCGAGCATTACCTTTCAAAGCATCATCCCTCACATGCCTTACGTAGAACTGCTACACAGGGCTTCCCACTGGATCCAATTTTACATTAACACTCGTTGTCAGTAAACAAGCTGCTGTACGTACACAGCAAGGATAGCAGAAGGTCACCAGGATTAAGGTGGCAAAGGGATATGAAAAACACTTGAGCAATTTCAGTGGTAAATAAACGGGTGTGTTGGCAGAAGAGGTGGCAGGAAGGTGGGCAGTGCCATGGGGAGGGGTGCAATCCAGCACCCCACATCCATTCTGGGTGTCGCATTTGTCAGCACCCTTACCTGTTCTTCCCATCATCTCATCAGAGGTAAAAAAAAACACCATCGGGGCTGGTTTTCACTGACAAACGGTCACAACGCAAAGATTTGTGTACGTCTAAAGTACGCTGTAACTCCAGAGGGACTGGGGTTTTTCAATCCAAACACACACATTAAAATAATCCTAATGCTGGGTTTTTATGACAAGAAGAAGGAGATGGAAAGACTCCTCTTTCTGTGTCGCAGACACTTCATCGAATTCAACCGCTTTTTATCATAAAGGAACAACAGCAGCCCAGAAGAAAAGGCAAGGGAAGTTACCGTGACAAAACGGCTTTAGAAGCAGATAAATTTCATGGCAGGTGTGTACATTTTGTGGGAAGAGTGACCGTGCGCGATTGTGTTTTCATATTAAACCCCGGTATAATAAAAACTGTGCACTAACTCCATCTACAGGTCATTATAATAGTGACACACCACATGATGTTTAAACACTGGTCCAACGCATTTCAAGGCTCACTTTAAGAATGCACATGCATACATTAGAGATATAATAAATATGTGTACACATACGCATGCATACATATTTAAATAATAAACATGCTCTCACAAAATCCTCTAGCTAGGCCACAGGAAGTACTTCATGAATACCTCAAATCTCATCTTTCTCAATATATTAGCAAAACAGAGGTATTTCTTCTAAAATGCCGTGTTTATTCAATACAGCAACTGTAAATGAATCACTCACTTGTATTCTTTGGCTTTTTTTGGAGGAAACACTTGTGCAGATGAACCTTTGCCCCTTTGCCCACCCTGTTTAAAATCTTCAAGGTAGCCAGGAGCTAAGTTTATCTAGAGCTGCGGATGCATAAGGAGTCACTATGGAGATCAACGCAGCTTTTAGGGCTCTCTATAGACAGTACCAAATTTCTACTGCTTTTTGGTCATTATGTAGCATTACTGACAGGATAGAAATGTTTTTAAAGCACAGAAATATAGCAATGAGTCTTCTTAAACACCTTTACCGGATTTTGAACTGCTGCGAGTACTTCGAGTATGCTCCAAACTGCTCCATAGCCTTTAGTTAACCTGCTGTTTGTTAGATGAGGTGTTGTATGATGACAAATAGGTTTCAATACGAATGCTATTTTCAGATCATGATTTCAGCACATATCCCATACACATTTGCTGCAGCATGGTCATTAAAACATAAACTGTTGTGGGCTTTGAGCTCACTAATTCTTCTTCATCCAAGCAGGCTCCCTTCACCAGGAAAAGGTCTACTTCGGATTTGCAAACCCAGTTCCTAAGTTAGGACACAATCCTGACCGGCCAAGAAGTAAAAGTTTTGCCTCTACTTGCAGGGACAATGAAGTTACTAAATAGCACTTAAATGAAATTTAAAAAAAAACCTTAATTACACTTCCCCCCCCCCCAAATAACCTCGTATTTCTGAGCAGTTATTATACAAGAATAGAAAGGATTGCACAGGTGTTTAAGAGGTAGTTGAGTTTCAATCTGTTTCAGAAAGCTTTTGCTTTCTTTTTTACCCCACAATATTAAAAAGAAAAAAGAAGTTATGCAAACAATTTGTAGTTTTCTTTCAGTCTTCCCTTAGATTTAGCTGGGATTTGAACAGGGATTAACTTCAAACCAGTACACTGAGCAGTAGTGCAGCCCATGCAGTATTTGCCTTACGATGCTACATTAAATGAATTTCATCCCTGAAATACGTTGGTGCATTAAAAAGTATCTCCCCACCTTCTTTCAGTCAGCGCGTTCAGGAGGAGGCTCCAGGCCCAGAGGCAGTCACAAAGCACCAGGAGTCTCTTCATGGTGGGCTCTGAAACTGGAAGGAAAACATTCATCAGCGTCCCCTTCGTTAAAACAGGTACTGGGGAGAAAAACGTCTGATGTGGGAAACTTCTGTAGAATAATGTGGTGTCAGGCAGTGCCCTCACGATACTACAGCTCATTATTTGGAATGAGGGAGCACGGCCTTGGCCGCTCTCTGTTTACCTGCTGCTCTTAGACACAGAGATTTATTTTACAGTAAGGTTGTACTTGCATTTTTCTTGAACATTAACAATAACAGTTATGAGTTAAAGCTGCTGCCCCCAAACTCTGTGGCAATTCCTGCTCAGTTCCCTCCTGTGCCGAAAATGTGACGAGGCACCTCCGTAACATTTCCAGATAACCAAGTGTGACTGGGTTTTGCTTGACTTGAAGCAGCCCGAGTCCTTCCAAAGCTCCTGCAAGGTGCCAGTGTGTGGTGGTGTGACCGAGAGAGGAGCTTCCCTCACTGGTGTGCTGTGCTGTGATGTGTTGGAAGCAACTTTCTTCTACAGATATTACTACTCTCCTCTTCGCTGAAATATTAGCCTGAGTAGGAGTCAACTGATCAGATTCTGCCTCTGTGATCTGCTGCTACGCATACACACTAATATTTTTGTTGGGCTAAAGGGCACGATTCATAATCAAACCATGTGCTGACAACCTACACACCAGCTCCTAAATCTCTACCTCTCTGATTGCTGCTAGGAAATGTTTTTTTATATTAGGAGCCTGCTCCTCCTTTCCAAATGTCTCCTGTCCTCTCTCCAGACTTCACCGAGTTTCAGTTTACCTTTCAGTAAAAAGTAACACAACTCAGGAGGTTTCTTTTTGCTTTCCAATATACCAGAAAATACAAAGTTAGATGGTATTTGTGGAATCGGTGTTCCAGATTCAACTGATTGCCCAGGAGATGCTGCAGGTCCCTTTACGTGTCTATATTATATACCGTGTGCTGGAATCCAGTCGATTTTTAGTATGCATTACATTAAATAAGGGCAGCAAAATACGAAGCCTGTGTTTTCTCCTAGTAGTGAGAAAACGAAGCATGGTACATCGAAATGTTGTAGCACCTTTAAATAAAGCCACCCCAATTCACTGCATGCTCTCAGGGACAATTTAAACCAATAAAACAGCATTGCAAAGCGGTATGTAAGCAATGAGACCTAATTAATGCGTTTATAGGCAAATGATCGGCAGAGAAGCATTGAGCGGGGCTGAGCCAATCCGCCTGGGCAGGCAGGAGCTCGCTGTGGCAGGAAAGCGTGGCTAAAGATCTTCAGGGACCAGGCTGCATCTCAACTTGCCCTGCGATCAGCCCCCTCCGAACGGCAGAGGCAACATCTGGGGCTGCAAAAAATCGTCTTCTCCCGGTCCTGCCAACTTCTGCCTTGCAAAAGGCTCCTCGGGATGAAGCACGGAAAGTGGATGATTCTGAACTCTCTTGATCTGTTGAGCTCCACGCCCGCCCCCCCGCTCCCAACACCACCCCTCGCTTCAATAAACCCATACAGGCACTGTAAATCCTGGAGAAGGAAAGTTTCTTGCAGCTGGAAAAAGCAAATGTTAAGCAAGGCTTTCAAGGAGCGTTAAACACCAGCAGCCCCCCA